TTCAACGATATAAAAAGATTAATACATGCTTAAACTATGATGTCAAAACAAAATATCATAACACTAACTTCTCCAATAGAAATCCTTGATTGTGAATTGTGATCACATCCTTGAAGATGGAGCATCCTTGTGGCCGTAATATTCTTCAATTCCGTCCGTCGTAAAAGTTCTTCTCAAACTTTCGAATTCAAATTTGTGAAAATTCCATTTCCAACAAGTGTTTTTTTTTAACTCACACTAATGATATTTTTCTTCTCAATATTTCAAATATATATACCAAATTACATTCTTATATGTGTCGAGCTGACCTAATTTGCGCCACAAGATAAATTATCCGACCTGTCACAAAGTAGATATAAACATTCATATACCTTCCACGAAACAAATATTAGTATCGAGATACCCGCCCAACCTTTTACTTTTGTAATTTCTAATTGTAGGAGGAGTGTCTGTCAGTCATATAGCTCTTAATGCAGGTATTAGTTTCAATCAAACAGCTAATGCTGTCTGGAAGAAGCCCTACACTTTAGTTTGTTTTTCAAGATAATGACCATTCTATCACTTTCTCTATTATTCCTCTCTTTCCATTTGCTTCAATAATTTATATTATCCCTCGGATTTGTATAAACCACAGCTTGATTACGATTAGTTAGGTGGCAGATAGCCACGAATACAATGCAAAATATTTAAACCATTCGTGTGCGCCTTACATCCCATGTAAATTCCTAGTCCTAGGTAGGAATACGTCGTCGTTAATGACTAAATGGTCACACGATTTTGTGCGTTTGTAATAAAATGATTATTAAACTAGAAATTTGAACAAAATACTATATAGGTGTTTCGAAAACCCAGATTTTGAGGTTTGAAACCGATTGGATAGGGTTAGGGGTCTAGTTTGTGGGAACGATGAAATGCATATTGGACAATGTTGGTGACTTGTCAATCCTACTTAATACACAGTGGCGGAGGCAGGATTCGGAACTACCCCTGTCTTTTTTTCAAAATATAAAATATAAATATTTAATAATTAAAATTAAAATTAATAATATTCAAATAATTCATTAATAGATAAATAAATAAATGATTAATATAATTATTGTTTGCATAAACAACCACGACGAGTTTTCATGTATGAAAGAATTACAAAATACATTAATTGTTTACACTCTTAAGTCTTAAGTGAGCCTCTTTCAATATTCCCACTAAATAATCATTAACAAACTGATCATCAATTCGACTTCGAAACTTGTTCTTAATATATCAATCTAAAAATGCTCTTTTTACGTTCGGAGTTGCAACTGGTAGTATCAAAACTCATTTCGGAAGCAAATAAACCGACCGATATAACTTATGCACTTTTGTCTCCACCATGTTTTGAGATCATTATCAATTTCTTTCAATCCAACAAATCTCTCATCAGCCATAAAATCATTATAATACCCAACAATCTGTTGTCGAATAATAGTGTCATGAATGAAACAAATAAATTAATTATTTTTTGACAATTAATGAACAAGTAATGAATTATAGTGTAGTGCCAACATATCCTTATATTACTTGTAGGTGTTGAGTATATTCTCCGTTCAAACATATATATGATTTTTTTTTCCCCTCCCAAAATTTCCCTCTGTTCTGGGACAAGGGCAAACTGCCCTCCCTCCGCCTATGTTAACACATGACGACTTGGTCGATCTGAGAGGAAATCACACGAGGACGCGAATCAAGGACCGGTCATCATGACTAACCAAATCAATATTTTGACTAGCTTTTATTATCAAATATCATAGTAATCATTCTTTTCCATGATGAACAATTCACCCCCCGAGCTAATTAGGTTAGAGGTGATCGTATCCACAGTTTTTTGTCAAATTAGAAGTCCTTGCAGTTCTTCCAAACCAACCTGCTCGACAAGGGTCACAAACAGATGTGTACCAAAGATGACATAGCAAAAGAGGAATTTGGAGGTGAATAGCCGTGAGAGACTGAGAGTTGAGACTGGTGGTACCCAATTCCCTTACTTATCAGGCAAAACAGGACATGCAAACTAGGAAAGCAGATGATTCTTTTTATGTTATTGTAGCGAACATGCACCACCACCTCATCTGCCATAATGGCAGCTATGTTTGTGTCATGTGATCTGTTGGGAGGGTTGCCGGTTAGATGTCATCTCCAACAATCCAAACCTACCCTCGACCATCCTTCAGCGGAAAAGAGAATACACAAAAAAAAAAAAAAAACATGGATTTTTAGACTATGTCATCTCATCGTTTTATCATATCCACCGTTGCTAATACTTGATACTTATTTCATATTTTTCATAGACAATCTTGCATGGCAATTATTATTAGTTAGAATTATTAAACCACAAGTAATTAAGAATCGAATTATTATAGGTATAATACGCTCCTCTACTATGACGTTTTATCAAACATGCTCCTCTACTATTTTTTACATCAAACATGCCCCCTGTACTTTGAAAAAATTATCAAACATGCCCTTCTGTTAAAATTTCCATTGAAAAAATCGTCAATCATGGTTGAACCGAGATTTAGACGACCGGACATCGAAAAATGAGAGAGATTATGTCAGTTTTGTCTCCCGTTTTATTTCTCTGGGTCTCTTCAAAGTGAAATTATCTGGTATACAAAAGAAAAAAAAATCTAAAGTTAAATTATTAGGGATACTTTAGACATTTGTGCCACCCAGACAAAAGTTCGATCTTGGTTAACGGTTTTTGGATGAAAATTTAAACAAAAGGGCATGTTTGATCATTTTTACAAAATACAGGGACATGTTTGATGTAAAAAAATAGTAGAAGAGCATATTTGATAAAACGTAGGAAATGATTGAACCATTATATCACGAGTACACTGTACACTTGCATATGTGGTTACAAACAAGGCCCATGGATGATAATAGATGCATGGATGGTTTATGTGCTTGGAGTAGGGCTGGCTATTTGGTCCGGGTTTTTTGGTTTTACACGAAACCAGATCGTATAACCCGGACCGAGACCGGACCGGGACCGGATAGTAAACAATCCAATCCAATCTTTGGGCTTAGATTTGAGGTAAAAAACCGTTCGGGACCGGATCGAAAACTGGATAAAGACCGGATAAGAGAGTTCAACACCCAAAACTTAAGGGTAATTTGCATAAACGCTCACAAACCTTTGCACTTAGTACAAAACTTAACCAACTTCTCACCCTTTCAGGCCTCAGGCTACTTAAATCCCCACAATCTCAATATAAAATCAAGACCGAATTGGGACCGGACCGGGTCAAGACCGGACCGGGTCAAGACCGGACCGGATCAAGACCGGAGTGTATCCAATCCAATCTTTGGTCCTTATATTTTCAAAAAGACCGAACTGACCGGATCAATTTGGGTCAATTTAACCGGACCGGACCGTATAGCCACCCTAGCTTGGAGTAAGGATGTCCCCTAGGGCTACATCACATGGGTCCGCCTTGTTCCCCTCGTCGACTCTTCCACCACTTCTCCAAAACCAGAATTTTCCTCCACTCCCCCTTAAAGGCTTTAAACCAAACCACCTTTTCGATAACCCTAGCACCATTCCGTGCAAAAAAGTAGTGAAGAAGATGAGATGGAAGTGCAATATCTTCCAAAACATTGGACGATGGATGGAGTTTTGGACAACACTTGCCGGTAAAAAACTTACAAAAGTTGTCCACTCGATCTCCATCCTAGCTTTATTCTTCTTGGTCCTCAACTTCTCCCATTAGCTTTTTCGTATATGAAAAACTACTCCCCACCTTCCGTGTCTACCCTAAAAACATTGACAAAAGTTCCTTTTTGAGGGTAGCTAAATTGCTATCCGACATCAGATTCAACACACCATGTCTTGTCCAAGATAAAGCTACCACGTGTCTTACGATGATATTTCACTTATAGTAATTAAGAATTTAAGATTGGACAACTATCCACGTCGATCATACCAAAGTAATGCCAAAATAAAATTTGTCAAAATAGAATGGAATAGTTTTATTCGATCTTGATTTCGTGAATTTTCTTATATATAAAAATGAAAATGTGAACTTAAAATTACAATTGAATTGTGCCGAAAGCAATTTTGATTCGTTTCTAACTCCTTATTTATATATATATTTTTAATTTAATTCTGCAACGATTCACTCTCGATTTTGAATCTAATCAAATGGTGCCCACCCTACCTATAATCAACCCATCATGAATTAACAATTTACTCTCTTTTCATTTCAAAGGCTCATTGCTGTACAATGCCATAAAGCTCAAGGCTCATCCCTACTTCCCTAGACATCCACTTAAAGAGTTAAACGGATATTAAAAAAAAAAGCTAAACGGGCAAGAATTAAGAATAAACGGCCCATAAAAAATAAATATAAAAAGAAAAATTGAGAAGCCTATTTACTAGAAAGCCCAAAGGCTCGATCAACATGGAATCTCAGCCCAAAATATAACAGTTGATATATTTTCTTGAGACTACCAAAAAGCCCAAAAGCCCGATCAACCTAGAATCTCAGCCCAAAACATAAAATCAGAAAATTGAATAATATAAGGGCCCAACCGGGTTCGAACCGGTGACCTCTTGATCTGCAGTCAAATGCTCTACCACTGAGCTATGGACCCTTTGATAACGATTTTAAGTAAACCAGCTTATTTAATTATTTCGTATCAACTATCAGCACTATTATTCCCGCCAGCCGTCGTCCTCCGCAGCCGCGCCTCAGGCATCCGTGGCCGCACTGGTTTGCTCTGATATGCCGTTGTTTTCTTGGTTTCTTCAATCAATTCCGCTCGTTGGGATGATTACTCATTTGTGCGTCCATTAGGAAGGAATTGAAGGGATTAAGATTCGAATTTTGAGGGTTAGCGGGGGTTTTCAACAGTCGGGTGAACAGCACCACTCGCAATTCACAGCCGCCTTTTTTTTTCTCACTGGAGAAAGGCGGCCCGCCGCGAGAGGGGAAAGCCGCCAGAAGCAGCCGGCGACGGAGATAATGGTGTCACAGCACGGCATCCTATACGCCGTCCATCTCGTCACCAACCAGTTCGGCAATCTCGTCGCGGTAACTTTGCGGGCTTGCTTCTCTGTGATTGTGCTAAGTATCTCTCTCAATTTCCACCTGAAAAATCGTTTTATTTCTCGCCATTATTAACAGAAAGTCTGTGAATGTCTCCTGCGCGACGGAGCATTGCCCATCCACGCCATAGTTCGACGAACTGAGCTCTCTCCGGCTAAAGTGAAGAACAGCTTGCTCGTCTTAATCCAGCACAACTGCGCGCAGGCTTTCATCCTCGAAGAGAGCGGTGAGTTTTTTGTTTGTTTGTTCGGTGATAGAGTCAGTTTTCTTTTCAATCGATGGCGTGTTGGTTTCTTGTTCGTGCCATAGGTGGAACTTCATCTATCACCGTGACTGATTTGATGACTTGAACTTGTTCATCTGGTTGATCATTTGCCTCAACAATGGAGGTAAAAGTTAAAAGGTAGGTGATCTTTCTATGGTGTTTGGACCTTGGCAGTGTCTGGAGAGGATGCTGGAGAACCAGGGAAAGCCCACACACAGTACATAGCATTGTTTGTCAACATACTTCATCGTGTGAGGTTTTCCAAGTTCTTGGATGTGGTGTCGAAGGAACTCGGTGGCTCGGTTTGTATTTGTGTTTGGTTCCTTGTTCAGTGTTCGGTAGATTTTTAGTAGTTTTTACGATAGTTGGTTGGCATTTGCAGTGTGGGGAACTCTTCAGAGGTTTGCTAGAACACGGAAGGCTCACAGTAAAGCAAATAGTGGATAGAGCTGATGCAAATGCCAAGGAGAGTAAGTGTTCCTGGACTCATATGCCTCTTTTCTAGGATCATGTGAACATTACTCATGCTACTCCTTCTAATTCAAGTTGCTGCTCTTAAGATCGTTCAGTTAGTAATCATGTTTTAGACATCTGGTGTGCTAGAAGAGAAATGGGTTGTATTTCAACTGACATGGTTAATAGAAGAGATCGGTCTTGTTTAGTAGTGATACATTGTTTAGACAGTCTTTAGATTCTCTTTAGCTCTACCCGTTACTTGTGGTTTTTGTCTTCGTATATAGTATTTTCATTTGAAGTTGAATTCAGCTTGATTCTGTACATATAATCAAGTTGAAGTGGACTTTATCGTATTTTCTTTGCTGAGAATGAACAGGTACCAAGACAGTGCAGGAAGACCTTCATAAACTTGTGATGGCCCATTACGTTGAATGTTGTCCTGCTCCTGAACCTTTAGTTCCCCCACCCGATCCCGATGCCAAGAAGCGTGCCAAATCTTCGAAGGTTATTTGCTGAACTCTTGAAAGTTTATTATGTGACCATAGTCCTGCAATTATTGAACATAATGCAGACGTACAGTCTAACAAAGGGATGTTGTCTTCAAAAACTGCTTAATAGTGATAATGTGTTTATGTGACCATATTGTATACCAACTGCTAAGCCCTACCAAAGTATTGCTGTCTTTCCAGAAGATAAAAGTTGAGCAAATGAGTGATGGAAATTTTAGCAAAGTTGTATAGTTCTTAGCAAATTTTACTGCAAGAATTTGGAGTTTCCCCCTCACTGTCATAATGTAGTAGTTATATCTATTGCATGTAGATATCAGAATTCTGTCCTGGAACTGCTGGAATAAGTATTGGTGTCTTTACAGAAGAGAAAAGTTGAGAAAATAGGTGATAGAATTTTCAGCAACAGCTGTATAGTTCTTAGCAAATTATAATGCAAGAATTTGGAGTTTCCCCTCAATATCATAATATATTAGTTATATACTTATTGCATGTAGATACAATAATTCTGTCCTGGAATTGTAGGAATAAGCTATCTTCTTTCTGGTAATGGCAGGTCTTGGTGGAGTCATTAACCCTAGAGCAGCGTGTTATGGCTGTAGCAATGCCTTCATCGATGAGAAGATTTTCATTTGTACCTAACACAGATCAAATAGCGGATGACCAGCAAAATGTGAATCAGCCCCCGACTAAAGATGTTGGTCAAAAGGTTGGTATTTTAGGTTTCGTTACTAAAGCATCTGGCATCGTCCATTCAGTCGTTGGAGTTTGATTTTGTAGCGCAAGCTTCATGATTTGGAGTCTGATCCGGCACTTGAAGAAGAGGCCGAATGTAATTGGCGTGCAAATTTTGAGGAATTGCTTCGTCGTCTTCGACACAAGGTTACTTTTATGGTTTTGCTCACTCAAATTGTACATGCATGCATTTATTGTCCGTGAAAATTTTCTTTGTTTCTCTTGATGTTGTTTGATCTGTGTAGCAAGATCAAGCTCCATGTCATTATTTTGGGAAGTGAGAAACTGACTATGTCTTACCCTTTTTCAAGGAGATACAGGATTTTATCATCTCAAGCTCCATGAAACTTGATCTGTAGTGAAGGATATATGCGTTAATGACAAACAAGAGAAGTAGTAACCATGTAGTTAAGTTCATGCTAGTGTAAAATGAACATGTGCAAAGGTTTAGAACAAAATAAATTAAGCCTTGTGAATCCTTTTATTTTGACCTTTATTTGGTTGGTAATTTCATAATAGGGAAAGATCTTACAGTTTCCTCTTGTTATAGAGCATGCTAGTCTCTCTATCTTGCATACACTATTCTTTCAATGATATTTTTTCTTACATCGTAGGCCTGTGTCGATACCATAAAAGTACGCTTCGATGATGTAGCAGCAACTGTTCTTAGTGCAATGCTGGCGGCATCTAGAGCTGAAGAGAATAAAGTCAAAACTGCAAACTCAGGTGAATTTTATTTCAATAGTTTGGTTTGTTGCTATTTGGACGTTCAATTGTTATTTCCGGATAAATATTTTATTATATGCTCTTTCCTTGTTGATTCATGATGCTGGTGGAGGACTTTTACAGTGCCGTTATCGCTGGATACTATATATGAAGAAGTTGTGAAAAACGAAAAGAATCACAGTATGACTTTCGATCATGTCAGAACTTGCCTCGAAGAGTTGAGCTCTCCTCCAGCCTTTGTAAAAACGGACGATGAATCGTATAGTATAGGTACTTCCTGTTTGGCTTGTTCACTCTTTGGTATTATTAATAGTCCATTCTTCAATTGTTTTCTTTTGAATTTGATCATTCTTGATTGTTAGTGTTGATTGACATGTTCACACTTTTGTAGATTTCGCACAAATCGTTGAAGCAGCTCAGAGTGAAGAGGTATGTTTTTTTCCTTTGTTCGTTTGCCCCAAATGGTTGAAGTAGTGGTTAGGATACTGATGTTCACCAATATTTCTGACGCTGCAGATTGAGTCCATTATTTTGAAAAGATATGGAGAGGCAGCATATAAAATTTTCCGCTTACTCTTTAGAGTTGGCCGCCTCATGGAAACAGATAAGGTAAATGATGAAGAGTCAGGAAATCCTCGACACAATCATACTGTGGATCCACAGTTTTGGTTGAGACTTGTGACCGGCAGCAATTCCTTTCAGTGAAAGTTCTGCAGGTCTGTTTCATAAAATTCGCTTCATTCCCTTGTGTAGATTGCTGATACGATATTTGCCGAGAAGAAGGAGACGTCGAAAACGCTTTACAAATTGTGGCAGGATGGATACTTACTCATGGAGGTAACCATCACCTTTTTTCTAAAGCAAAACTTGTTTCTGCACTGCCTTAAAAGTAATGATCAGTTTCTGGTCAGACATCTGAATCTTGTTCCTTCTGTTATCAAATGCTTGGGTATATTTGCAGAAACTGGTTATGGGTGGTACGGCTACTGGTCCTAGCTATGGTGGTTCTTCCTTCATATTGTGGAAAGTAAATAAACGGCTTCTTTGGGGGACAGTCGTGGATGAGATGTTTCATGCTGCCTTCAATCTGAACCAACGTTTAACTCATGAGATTGACCAAAACAAGGAGGTTAGCTAGGGTCCTTAGTAAGGCATTTTTTTTCTTGGCAGTTCCATGATCTCTCATATCTGTTGTTTGTTCTCAAGTCTTGAATCTGCCTCCGGATAAACGAGAGGGGCCTGACAAACAGAAGTTTGATAGACTGAGAAATGTCAGATTGCTTATCCATTCGTCGCTGATGAAGTTGGACGACGTGATTATGCTCTTCCATGATTTCTAGTTTTATCCATTCTTTCGTTATAGACCGATTCTGTTACACATTTTAGGTCTTTTAACCTAATATATATATCTAGATCGCATCTTATATTGTTCATCATTTAGTTATTAGTAGCATATTTGAATAGACTCTCAACTTGTAGTTCACCCCAGCATAATTTGCAGTTATTCAATTGCTAGCTAATATATATTGTATACACTTGTATCCTAATTTCTATAATGTATACACTTGTTCTTTTGGTTCAATTATACGAAACAAGCAACAACTCTTTGTTTTTGGTTTGACATCCATCCAATTCTTGGATTGCTTGTTTGTTGCGTAACTTTGATAAACATACAACTCCTTAGGGTCGTATTAAAAACAAAATCAATTGGTCTCATTTGTTGTCCAAGTTGCTAGATAAATGAGCTCACCTAGCTTTTGAGAGGGGTTTGCCGGAAAATGACTCAAACCAAATATTTCAAGAAGGGACAATCTCGTAGCTAAACTTATATAGAGAAAGACTTAAGAGTTAAAATCCTAATCCAACGAATAAGACGAGGTCTAACAAGGCCCAATACTAACACGGTTTAAGTAACCGCAACACTGTCATAAACCAGTTGGTGGTCCCAATAACTCGAGTTGTTGGGAGAAGGTCCATGTATGGTACTTAACCACTTCCTTACACGCCCCCTCAAATGAAAGCCGACTCATGAGTTTGAAGTTTGCACAGGTCCGTTATACCATGTGCTTGAAGACAACGGTTAATATTGGGGGTCTAAAGTACTTGAACACGTGACATCAAGGAAAAATTAGCTCTGATACCATATCATAAACCAATTGGTCCCAATAACTCAAATTGTTGGGAGAAAGTTATGTTGGATCTTATACAGACCCATATATGATACTTAACCACTTCCTTACAATTAGTGCTTATATTGAAAACTTATATTTATATCAATGTTATCTATAGTTTAACTTGACTATCAATATTTGTTTCTTCCTTGATGATTAGGCTTTGTGATTCTAATATTTGTGTGCAAGATAGTTACGATTTAATTTTGTGTATTTTCCAGCTTAAGTTCTCCGCGACCACATTTTGCCATATCGATTTTATGTGTATTTTTACTCTTTTGTTTTACTTATTAATAATTTGAGTAATATAGAACACATGATTAATTAGTTTTACTCGAATTTACTTCATTACTAGAATTTAAGGCGGAGAGAAACTTTTTAGGACCACATGAAATTTGCAAATGAATCATATTATAAAAAAGGTGACAAGTCTACCAAATATTATCTAGTACCTAATTAATTTCACATAGTTATAAACCATCCAATCACAAAAAAAAATTATATAAACAAATATATATTTTCTGAGGTGGATAACACTTAGTTTGTTGGCCCGGTTTAACCCTTTGGTCCGATCGAGCAAGCGAGTGGATGGTTAATGGTCCGATCACTTTAGCGTGATTTACCCCGGATATATGAAAAAAATCATTATACTGTTCATACATTTATAAATAATATCGAATCTCATATAAAATATGAGTAATATATATAACATTATAACAAAATAAAAGTTCGTACTTGGATCCAACATATAGTGAAAATTCAAAAATACACTCATTTTACATCAATATTCAAATGCTCAATTTAGAATTCCAAAGATGGGCTAGTGGATGGTGACAGCCGAAAAACACAGGCACAATCCGCACACTAAAAGAAAAAAAATGACACCATATAACCCCCAACTCAATATCTTGCTACGAGTCCAACCCAGAAAAATGTTCACCGTGTGACAATCATTTTTGTCATGATCAATCCACGAGTTGATAACCTTGATTAACCCAAATACAAAACTAACATTATTAATTATCCGGCCAAGACCGGGTCATAAACTAGTTAAAAATGAGAATCTTAGTGCATGGCCGCACCTACCTTCCTTTCTTCACGTAAAATTGTAATCATCATCAAACTAATTGCCGGCTTGCCGCCAATCTTTTTTTTTCTACGGCCGGGGGAACCTTTTGGTAACTAAACATCTTCCTAATCTCACATATCCTTTTCTTATTAATTCTCCATCTGTCATCTTCCACTTAATCCTCATTCTTTCCATAACTTGAAGCTAATCAAACAAGCAATTTTTAAACCTATCCCTATCTTCAGCTTCTTTTTAGCGACATCAACAAGGTAATGACAGCCTTCCCTCTCCCAAATCTCTAGCTCTTTTTCAGTAATACAACCAACTTAAGCCTTCAACACCTTCCATAAGTAACACCTTACGAAAATTTCATAAAATCATATATTCCTTCCTCAATCTTTCCTTTCGTCGATCCCACTAATTAATTACAATTAAGCACAAATGATCTCCTCCTCCAATACCCATTTCCCCGTTAAGTATTCACATACATAAATAGCTCTCTATGATCTTCCTCCGTTCTTACTACTTTCTCATCATCTATCCCAATTAGCAGCAAGGAGTTTACAATGTCGCGTTTCTTTCTCTTTGTCGCGCTCGTTTCATACTTCATTTCGCTCAATTTAGAAGGTAATTAATTTGATACCGTCGAACTAACAAGTGTTTTTTTTTTCTCTCGTTTTAATTATGTACGTGTTGAATTTCACGCAGTTGGTGGAGCGACGAGCATTGGGATCAACTACGGCCTGCTGGGAGACAACCTCCCGCCGCCGGAAAGATGCGTCAGCTTGCTGAAGTCGAGGAATGTGAATCGGGTCCGGATCTTCGACCCGAACCACGACGTCCTCACTGCGTTGGCTAACGCCGGCGGGATGGAAGTAGTCCTGGGGACGCTGAATGCCGATCTGGAGCAGCTGGCCAGCAGCCCGTCCTTCGCGGCCCAATGGGTCTCGGCCCACGTAATCCCCTTCCGGCCCAGATTGAAATTCCGCTACATCACGGCGGGGAACGAGGTCATCCCGGGCCCAATGGCCCATCTCGTTCTAAACGCGATCAAGAACCTCGACTCCGCCCTGAAATCGGCACAAATCACCGACGTCCCCGTCACCACGGCGATCGGCATGGCGTCGATCGGGAAATCGTATCCCCCGTCGGCGGGCGAATTCTCCGACGAATCGAGGCCGTACGCCGGTCCGGTCGTGGAATTCCTCGCATCGAACGGCTACCCGCTGCTGGCGAACGTGTACCCTTACTTCGCCTACAAGAGCGACCCGGCGAACATCGCTCGGGAGTACGCGTTGGGGAATTCCGTCGCCGGAGGCGGCGGGAAGAGGGTGGTCGACGGGAATTTGGAGTACCAGGGGTTGTTCGACGCGATGGTGGATGCGATGTACGCGGCGGCGGAGAAGGTGAATGGGGGAGGGTTGAAGGTTGTGGTGTCGGAGACAGGGTGGCCGAGCGCCGGAGCTGAGGTGGCGACGGTGGATAACGCGAGGGCGTACGTGAACAACGTGGCGTCGAAGGCCCGTTCCGGCGCCGGGACGCCGAGGCGGCAGGGGAGTGAAGTGGAGACGTATTTGTTTGCTCTGTTCAATGAGGATTTGAAGCCGCAAGGGGAAGAGCAGAATTTCGGGTTGTACCGACCCGACTTGACGGAGGTTTACAAGGTTGATTTGAATTAATTGCAGTTTTAAGTTCAACAATGAGGATGGGAACGGCGTCGTGCTCTATTTAATTTAGTTTTAGTATAGTATTCGGTCTTTGCTTCCCTCCCTCCATCTAGATGTTCAAGTTACGGGCTTCTTCAAAAAGCCATGACCAGGGGCTTCTCTCATCATCTGATTGAAACGAATAGTTTCTCAATAGTTGACAAGTTCTCTGGAGAAGGAGAAACAAAATAATGAATGGTCTCTTAATAATTGATGAGTTCTCTTGGAAAAGGAGAAACAAAATAGAGATGGCTTGGGATGGTGAATGATTTTCTTAAAGAAAAAAATTCATTATACAAGAACAACATACTTTTTAAACAATACTAGGCAATTGTGAGTCCAAAACCCACAAATAAAAAAAAAATAATGGATTTTAATTACTCTCTCAAAGCTCTTAAAACCAAATTCATCTAATATAAACGCTCTCGCTCCTGATCATGCTCTCACTTCCGATCTCGCTCACGCTCCGCAAATTGGTTACCTAAGTCTCATACCCTCCCGTCGACAAATGACGCCTCCTTCTTCCGCTGGGTGTGCATCGGGATGGATGGGGAGTTTCTCAGTTGAAGCTCGGGGTCCAAGACCGTATTCGTGGAGGGTGTCTTCAAGAGGAGTTGCCTAACCCATCTACATTACTACTTTTTGGAACGCCGCCAAAATCAGCGTTGTGATAATAATTTCAGTGTTGGGAACTGTAAGGTTCACAAGTTGTTTTTTGAGACAACTCATATATTTTTAAGAATTGTTAGTGAGAAAAACGATAATGGTAGGATTGATAGTGGGAATGTTTTTGGAAACTTTTTATTCTCATCTTTCTCGACTTGGTGGTATTTTGTGCTTAATTTTGATGATCGCGTTCTCAAAAAAATTTGATTGATTTCAAGTAGATCAATGAGTATTTAGGAATTGTTGCATGGCTCGTTGTTTTTCCAATTAGCGATAATGGATTGGATTGTGCTGGGACTCTTATCTGGCGGTGGTTGTGCAAAGCAAGTTAGTAATACAAATATTATGAAGAAATACCTTTTAAGCAATTTATTATGAAAATAAGAACTGGAAAATTTATTTTGAAATATATATATATATTAATTTCGTGATGACCTAATAAACAATAATACATATAATAAATAATCATCACTAACGTCACAATCGCAAGTAGCACAAACAATATTTTCAAATTATCAATAAATTATTTATAAAATCCTAAATCCTTTGAAAATATGAAAGAATTGGTTAAACACTAATAAAAAATAAAATAAAATTCATCCGACCAACGGGTCTGGTAAAAGCTAGTACAAACCAGGTAGCGAAAACGAGATTACTCAAACAAGGGTCGGGTAAAAGCTAGTACAAACCAGGTAGTGAAAACGAGATTACTCAAACAAGGATCATGGCATTGGCGGGCAAAGAAGAGAAGGAATTGATTTGAGATCGCATAATGAGGAGGGTAATTGATGACATGGTCACACAAGTCTAGCATGATAACAAAATGGTCACCAAATTTGGAAGGTGACTAACTACTGGTCATATAAGTACGTCAAGATGCCAAAATGGTACTTTCATCTACTTCCGTCAAAAACTTTAACCGCTCATAGCATGCCATCTCAATCAGCTTATCCCGACCAAAGGTAAGATAGCCTAACGGTAAAGCTGCCGCGACAGTGAAGGTTTGGGAGTTGCAGATCACAGGTTCGAATCCAAGCGAGGCCCGTTGGTGTTCCCGGAGGTACAAGGCTGCTCGAGGCGAAGCCCCGTTGGCGTCAAAATTGATTGCAGGTGGCCCACAGATTTAGTAGGACCCGATGTCACAAAGTGGCACGTGGGGCTGAGGTTCCTGGGTAATAAAAAAATCAGCTTATCCCGATCAGAAAATATTTTGGTTGAAGGAAATGATTTTTTTTTTTGTTGCTAAAAGATCACTCGTATAACCGAGAAAACAGCCAGATACAAAAGAGTCACATAGCTGAAAACAGCCAAGAAACAAAATTGAACCCCGTCAAAGAAGGGTACAACGAAAGAGCTTTTCTTGCCACCAAATGGGCAACCCTATTAAACTCCCGACCCACAAAAATAACCTGAAACTCCTAGAACAAGTCGCGCATACTTCGAATCTCTTCCAACAGCGTACCTCCATGGACATCAGCTACCTCACCCTCCCGGATCTTCCCCATGATCACTTGGGCGCACCTGCAAAAGTCATCAAATGGAACCCATACGCCAAGCACCATCGAAGCGCATCCCGGAAGACCAGTAATTCCACAAAAGCCGGCTTTGAAATCCCCACATACAATGTTGTCGATGCTGCCACCACCATGCCCGTGGGATCCTGAAGAGCCTAACCTCCCGCTCCATGAGAACCAGACGCCATAGCTCCATCCACGAACATCACGAACTCACCCACCGGAACAGCCTCACGGCCGCTGCCACCTGAGCCCTCTGAGTAACGACTAATACCCCGGCTTGTAGGTATGTCCTCCCACTCCGCAACCTGCAAACTAAATTGAGATAACAACACCGGAACAATGTACTGAGTAAAATCAAAGACCACCCAGTTTCGGGCCTTCCAAATACGCCAGAAAAGAGCTACTATATGCATCAGGGCCCCCTGATCAAGCTCCCGCCACTCGAGCAACCTGTGCCAAAAGATCCCAACATTGCATTGGGGGAAGCGATCTTGAATGTTCATAAGCCCCGCCCCTTCCCACAACCCCACCGCTACCCGACAGCGGAAGAAGAGATGTTCAAGAGATTCCACCTCCTCACCGCAGACTGGACATTGCTCCATCCCCCACCCCCGAGTACTCAGTGCCTCACTTGTTGGCAAGACACCGCGAACCATCTTCGAGATGAAGGAAATGATTTATTCCCACTGTATTGAAATTGAAGTATTGGTTTAATAAATTAAGTCTCCGAATTTCCATTTCATCATCCGTTTCCCTGCCGCCCCTTGTTGCCTCCATCCCAATTCCCATCCCCTTTCTATGATAAGTGGACTAGAACGATGTTAGTAATACTGGGCCAAAGCCCAAAGCGGTACGCAACCAAAATCTACAATGTAAAGAGCTAAGACAAGACCTCCTGCCGACTCAACCGCATCAACTAAATCAAAATCAACAAAGCCTAAACCCCTCAAACGATTAGAAACAGTACGATGTCGAGAGAGGGTTTCCGACAAAAATACAATATCTGGAACAAAACGATTATTCAAACCAACTAGACTCTGAATTGTCTCAGGCGGTCCCAACCCGCGACAATTCCACGACAATATCTTCATTTATCGGGGTGGGGCCACTCCCGGTTGGCTTCCTCCACCGACTTTGGATCCGTTTCCTCATCAGACACACACAAGCGCTTGGGCGGACCAGAGGGATCCTCCCCATCTTCCATAACTTCATCCACAGGTCGTTTCCTCTCGAACAACATTTCTTCCAACTCACCCAGTGCCATCCGAAACCCCGGCTTGGGCTGAGGGGGAGTGACACGAGGACTCCCGCCAGCTTCATTGATCACAATACCCGCTGCCTGGGAACGACGACGAGGCTGTTTCGGAGAAGTCCCTTCTGCCAGCACACCTTTCCCTTTCTCAGCAGCTGTCAACCTCCCTGGCAGGTCAGGAGCTTTCTCCACCGGTGCACTCGGCTGGAAGGAAGACACATTATCAGCAACTTCAACTGGGACAGTAGCTTGTCGCGGGGGAATCCCCGTCTCCGGGTAGTCCTCCAAGCGTAAACGAGGCGAGGACCGGCCTTGGAGAAAAGTCTCCACACCTACAAAATCAGGATCAACAACATGATTATCATTAGGACACCCAGCAACTGGGAAATTTGGCCTCCGTTGCTTCTGAGAAGGTTGAGGACCAGGCCTAGGAATGCCAGACGCTTGTGGTCTTGGGGGAGGCATCCTTGGCTGATCCACCATCTGCACATCACCAGTAGCTGCTAGGCTAGCTCCACCCAAGCTCGATCCTGCACCTCCAACATTGGGGTCCACCCAAACAGCACGCACTGGTAGCAACGTCTGCTCATCAAGGCGATGACCAGCAGGTTCCACCGACAAAGAGGCCCCATAAGTCTCATTGCCCTGGAATCGAGCACCCTCACACTGACGTTCCACATGACCAACCTGACCACAATTATAGCAAAAGAGTGGGAGACGTTCATAATTTAGGTTAATCCAAAAGCCTCCATGGATTTGATTGCTAGCATATAACCTGGTCCGCAGAGGAGCCTCCAGATCAACTAGGACCTTTGCTTTGAAGAAGAACCCAGGGTCTCCATGAACTCCAAACAGACCAGCCTCCAACACCTCACCAACTCGCCCAGCCATCCTTCTTCCAAAGCGCATTGTCCTGCAGTGGAATGGAATGTCCCGCATTTGGATCTAGATCGGTACAAATGCCAAAGATCGAACCACCTCAGGAGTAACCAGACGCCATTCATCCAAGTGAAGAACATGATCCTTGATTATCCGGGGGGATCGTAACAGAATCTCTCTCTATCACCATCATCCGAAAAGAGGAATTGAAGGAGACCACGATAAGCTTCCAGCACTGTCACTGGGGCTTGGCACCGCCAGAGACCATTGATGATTCGCTGGAACACCACACGATTCAGGGTAGCTTCACTGAAGAATCGACCCAGCAGGCTAAGACGCACCTGTTTCAGACTCTCTTCGACATCATCATCGTCAAACATCACCACACGATTCGCGATACACAACGTGGCTGTCCAGTGTAGTGCTAGTACATAAGGCGTCGGGAGACTGGAGGATGTGCATGGCTACATGAGCCTGAATCGGGTGTGCCCCACGGACGCGTATCCAATGTCGCGCATTGACCAGATAGTGGATGCGACCGCCTTCCACGAGGCATTGAGCTTTCTGGACATGTTTTCCGGGTACCACCAAAATGTATGATCTGGTAGTCAAGAGCCAGAGGAAAGAAGATCACCTGAAGGATTTGCGCGAGACTTTTGAGACCATGCGCGCTCACACTCTTGGCCTCAACCCTCTTAAATGCGTTGTACCTCTACATCACAGTATTGCGCACGACGGTTAGTGAGGTGCTCATCTTGAGGGCGCCAACATACGAGGAAAAGTGTCTCGTATATTATGTTATCAAAGTGATGACAGGCCCGGAGACGCGCTATGCGCCTATCGAAAAGGCGGTCCTGGTTGTTGTCGCCATGGCAGAAAAGTTGCGCCCGTATTTCCAGGCCCACACGTTGGTGGTGCTCACCAACTTGCCATTGAAGAGTACGCTGGGATCCATGGATGTGGCGGGACGCATGGTGAAGTGGGTGGTGCAGCTAAGTGAATACGACATCAAGTACGCGCCTCGCCCAGCGATCAAGGTACAAGTGTAGGCCGACTTCGCAGCTGAAGGAGTGGCGAGTGAGGGAGAGGGAGTGGGTGAAAGCTGGCAGGTCTATGTTGATGGGGCAGCCAGCCGAGTCGGAGCAGGAGCGGGAATAGTGGTCATCACTCCCATGGGCGCGATGCATGAGTTAGCGCTCCGGTTCTCGGCGTTAAAAACAAACAACGCGGCAGAGTACGAGGTTGTGGTGGCGGGCTTGAATACAGCGTGAGAGCTCGGAGCACGAAGGATACAGGTTCGTTCTGACTCAGCCTTAGTGGTAAACCAATTGAATGGAATATTCGAGGTGTAGGAGAAGAGGTTGAGTGCGTATCTGCGAAGGATTGAGGACATGACGCCTGGTTCGAGCGGGGGGGGGGGGGGGGGGGGGGGGGGGGGGGGGGTTCATGCATGTCCCAAGAGAAGAGAACGCTCTTGCGGACGCGCTGTCCAAGCTGGCGACCGCTACCAACTTCAAGTCTGAGAGGCACGTCATCGTTTCAAAGGAACACTCGTTGGAGGAATCTGTGGTAGGGGCGATCGAGGTGGAAGACGCTGGAGAAGAAAGCTGGATGACTCCAATCAGGGCGTACCTTCTCCATGGGACAGTCCCCGAGGATGCAAGGCAAGCGTGGCAGGTGAGGCGCAAGGCGGCTCGCTGCGCCATCCTTGACGGTCAAATGTACAAGAGGTCACACTCAGGGACGTACTTGAGGTGCCTCACGAAAGGGGAGGCGGAGAAGGCGATAGCGGAGGTGCACCAAGGCGCGTGTGGCATGCACGCACGGGGGAGGAGTCTTGAGAAAGTGCTGTTACGTCAGGGATACTACTGGCCTTCCATCAGGAAGGATGCCAAGAGCCATGTGGACAGCTGCCACCAGTGCCAGATTCATGCCCACGATGTTCACGTGCCCCAGACGCCTATGCAGGGCAACGTGGGCGCGTGGTCATTCTCGCAATGGGGGATGGATTTGCTAGTACCCTTCCCCAAGGAGCCTGGGCAAATGAAATACTTGATCGTGGTAACCATATTAACCGGTAGCATTCGGTTAATTTGGATAATTGGTTTGGTTAAATAATTTAGCTTATTTGGCTTAGGTGGTTTGGTTTGGTTTGGTTTGGTTTCAACACTGCTAACCAATGAAACCAATTAATGATACACCTAATATAAGAATTATTTATACTTCCATGCAACCAACCAAACCAAACTTTCGTGATTCGCTATTTTATTTCCATGTGCACAACAAACCAAAACATTATGGGTCAAAAATTAAATGACTCTACCTATTTACTAAACCAAAATATTTTGGACCGCTACTAGACTTTAGGATTACGTACAATACCATGACAGCCACCTCAAACTATGTATAATTTAAGTGTTTTGTAGTAGAGCTTTAACTTCCTGATGAGTGGTATTAGTGTGTATTTATGTTAATAGGTTTGTTGTAAGCTAACTATATTAGGTGCAGAGGAGATGAATGATGTATTAACTCGAATGATGATGATAATCATGGATGGTTAGTCTTTTATTATTGCTTATATATAATTATAGTTTATGGTAGTAACAACATATGGTTATGTTTTATTCATTAACAGGATAATTATTTTCATGTAATGTTATGTTATTTGGTTAATCCGATTATCCAATTAACCAAACCAATTAAACTTTGGTTTGGTTAATTTGGTTTTCGTGTTAATTTGAACGGTTTGGTTAAGACAGTTTATTCCATGGTTAATGAAATTTAGGCTTAACTGGTTTGGTTATTACCACGGTAACCATTTGAACACCTCTACCTCTAGCCAAACCCAAACCAATGGGTTTATCCATAAAAAAAATCCGGGGTAAAACCCGTTGGATTTGAAAAACTTAAACCCAACCCGCTGGGTATCCGCGGGTTCATGGGTACTCGTGGATTTTGTTTAAAAAAATTACAATAACAAGTTTCTTTCAAAATAAAAGTCAACATAAATTTTCTCATACAAATCATCCATACAAAAAACACCAATCTAGAGCATACAATCAAACCGCAAATTATCAATACAAATTGTTCAAAATTAAAGATAAACATCTATAAACATGATTAATTGAAAGCTTCTTTCTCCTTGTTAACTAAGCTTCTTCACTCTCTACTCCATAATATCAACTTCATTCTACATAATTAGAAAGAACAAATTAGACATGTCTCCACAAACATAAAGAAGATTGGTTGTTTATGAAAGATACATTGCTTAGAATATTAAATATATCGGAGAAATTAATTATATAGGTGTGGGTGGGTACCCATGGGGCGAGTTTACCTAAACTCAAACACAACCCGTGAATAGTGTAGTTTAAACCCGAACCCGGCCCAAAACCCGTCAACACAGATTCTACCCGCGTTGACCGGATTGGGTCGGATAGGATACCCGTGGGTTTGGGTTTTGTTGCCATCCCTATTCTATACCACAGATAAAATCTGCATATCATGTTTAAAATCTGTATTTAATAAATTAAAATGATAACTTAACTATTGCATATATTTTAATAATTATTGGGTATTATTAAATGCCATTAGTAGTTTAGCGACGAAGGTACGATATTTTACTATGCGATGGAGTACCATTAGTAGCTTTGGGAAGAAGGACAAGATTGGGTTGTCTATGATCCTCACGATGTGCTCTATTTTCTTGTCATTCTCCGACCGTCGTGCTCTCGCTGAGGCCTACTCAGGATTCCCACTCATCCTCCTACTCCTACCACTGCAATCGCGATCGTGAAGAGGCAGCTCGTAGAGATCGATTATTCGTTGCGGGTTTTTCAAGTTGTACAGTACTACAGTCGGGAAAATAATACAAGTAGAAGCTTTGGTTTTCTTGTTTTGCCAGTGTGAAGCAACTGGCATGCGATATGTAGCTGTTAAAGCAAAGAGAGCATTCGCGTGGGGAAAAGAACTACGATTTCTATGAGTTGAGTTGTGACGGGACAAAGCCTAGAAAAGAGGCAAGCTTGGAGGAAACCGGACGTGCATCCATTGCTTCTCGTAGGCAGCGACATGAGTCCACCCGATATCCTCCAGCAACGAGAGCTTCATGTCGTAGAGTTTCTTCTTCGGAGGATCACCGTCTTCTTGGATCATATCATTAAGCACCTGAGAGGTAGTAGAGAGGATCATGTTGAGTAATGCTAATAAGAAATAAAGTTCGATTTACGGAAGCAGAAGCGAGAGCTAGCTACCTTTAGCGCAGTACCAAGCCTTCCACGACGCTTCTCACGGAGGACAGTGAGGGTGCCATATTTAGAGGACTTGACATCAACCCATTTCTGGAGCTCCTTGAAAGTCTCTTCGAACAGATCTGGTTTCCCACCAGAATCTGTTACCGTCCGCACATCTGTCCACTCCACATCTATGGTGCCTTCTGCTACAGCCACAGTTTCAGCTTTCTCGCCCTTCTGCAAAACCATAATGACAAGGTATTATACAAGAGGTTTAAAGTAAAATGAGAGCAGGAACCTGAAAATCCTTACAAACTTGCTAGCAAAGCAAAGGATGATGGTTTAATTTAATACAACTGAAATGTGTTTACATGATCATTGTAAGTATAATGATTCATACAATAACGAGACCAAGAGTTCCGACCTTGAGGGATTCAATATCCGAGAGGGCAAGGCCCTTTGAGTAAAGTGCATCTGCTAATTGATCTCTTGTTGCCTCCATCTTCTTTTTCATTTTCTGCAACAAAGTAGCAATGGTGTTAAGAACGACGAATCTAAAACCTGTGATCTTCCTTCGAACAAGCTTCCCAATAAATTATTGCAACAGCATATAGTTGGATATGGTAAGTGAAAAGAACCAACAAGACACAAACCTCTGCCTCGTCGTCCTCTGGGTCAGGCTTGAGAGAGAAGAATTTCGCCAATTCTTCTTTGTCGACACTGCTGGCCACCTCATTTGCTGCTGCTATGACCTGCAATTTTCCATTCATTTCCAAGTGAATCATTGCTCTGGGGCAAACATTTCTCAGGGAATTATTCACTGCTGCTATATAGCTTCAAAGGGAGGGGACTGATATTAAAGAGATTCCCACCGCGGAGATATCAATATATAACATATGACGAGAATTAGGTAACAAATGCAAATGCCCCCTCCCCTGCCTGAGGAATGTTCCTCGGGTATCAAATTGAATATAGTATGATACAACAAGATTACCTCTTCATTGTGCTTAATTTTGTCCGTGATGTTATTTCGAGAAAGTAAGCCCTCCAGAATCTTAGCAAGCAGTGGAGTATATTTTGGGTATTCAGACTGCCGACAAGAGAGATAACAACGTTGAGATAACAATACAGCAAATTGTACTGGTTTCGTAGCTGTTCAATGTTATCGTAATTGTCAAGAAGCCAATTGGACTTTCGATCTCTCACCCTTAGGGAATCTGACAATTTTTTCCATTCTGAGCGTTCTTCCTCGGTCTCTTGCTTTAAACTTCCCAAAACCTTTATCTTTGCATCTCGAACCTGTGACAAGATGAAATAGTAGGTTCAGCACAAAACACATAATCTGAACCCTCCCAGGTTTACCTGACAAGGGGCTTTGTCAAAGGCACAAGGGCAAAGGCTTCCCCCAGGCACAAAGCAAAAGGCACGTCTGAGATAGTGAGCACAAGCAACTAATAATTACAGTACGACTTAAGACCTTCATCATAAGGAATTATTTTTTCTTTCTTCAAATGAGTATATATTCTGTGAAGTTTTATGTATCTTTCCTTAGTGAAGATAATACGAATTCAAGATTTTGAACTGATTCTAGAAACTTCTGCAGACATTTTGAAACAAATCAGTCACCAAATCCAAAAAATGGAAGGGAAGATATTAGCACGAGCCAGAAATCGAGCTCCTTCTGTACCAGGTGCACCTTTATCAAGTAATATACATACTGCATTGGTAAGGTTTTCTTTGGTCTGTACAAAGCATGATGAGCTTACTCATAGGAAGAAAAAGAAGAGAGAGGAAGGAAGGAAGGAGAAGAATGTACCTCTTCCTCCAAACGTTCAGAAACAGTTTTGTTGGAAGCTGAAGAACCTTTCTGCTTGTCCTCGTCACCCTGTCACATGAATATTGACAATTAAGTGTACTTGCACCTACTATAAGAACTGTGCAGTACAAACGAATGCTTTAAACAAAAAACAAAATTATTCGTATTGAATATTTGAAACAAGAAGCATGAACAGGCACCTTATTTGGCGGCACAACATAAGAGATCGGATAGGATACAGGACTCTTCTGCCCGCTTTTTCCTGCTTCTTGTCCAGACAACAGCCTACCATAGGAGATTGTTCCTAGTAACACCGATCCTTGTGGAGCATTCTGAAAGAATTCCACGCATATTAGCATACAACAAACTCTACGGTTGATTTAGAATTAACATCACTTAAATCAGAAATCAGGAACTGATTAGTGGAATACCTTAGGGAGCTTGTCTTTCGATGGTGGAGCCAAATATATAGCTTCCTTCTTCCTGTGCACCAATTTTTTGTCACAAGAAGACAAACAACAAGTACAAACAAAGACATAATCTTTCACGAAGAGACATACCCTGGGACCAACTCTGAGGATTTATAACCTCCATTGCCCATTATAGGGCCATCGGGTTCAGAGAAAAAGCTCAACCGAATCACATCCTGCAACATAGGAAATATCTCTAGCATTTCAGTGCAAACTACAAAGAAGCTACAGCTTTGAGATCAGAGTATGAACTCAATCCTTTTACGACATCAATGAGATCAAGAATGCCAAAAAAAAGAGGGAAGATATAATACCTTATCTTCCAAAGTTTTCTCGATGAACAACACCAACTGCTTCAATTTTTCTAAATACTGCACGTTATCATGCCTGAAAAATACCGTTATCAACATGAGATGAATAAATTTGCAATTCACACAGTTCTCTTCAAGGACTGGTCTCTTCAAGGATAGAAAATACAGTATACAAAGGCAATGCACTGGCAGAAATTAAATAGCATAAATTTTAATATTTTTTACTTGACCTATCACCCATGCAACTATATATGTGTACATGGATGTAAGAGCCTAATTTAGTGCAGAGCTAAAAAATATTATACATGGTATTCTCAATTCTGAGGCCTTCCAAGGACACAAAGCAATACCTTAGATACAACTGCAATGTGTAGTCACCCTTAGGAAGTTTTGAAGCATTTGGATAAACATCACCCATGGAATATACACGCTGTCATTGGAAACACACTATGAGAATTTCATATGAATGATGAAAACATCATTGGTTTCTATCAATCATTATAAATCTAAACAGGATGGATAAACATACTAGCAAAGCATTGCTGCCCCTAGCAAATTCAGCAGAGCTTCATGTTACAGTAGCCTGTAAGTACTTTACCTTGTTGGAATCAGAAATCATATAGAACTGCGACTCAAATTTGGTATCATATATCCGATTATTAAGCAGAGGAACTTGAGGCTTCACTTCAGCTCCATCTTCCAATTTAATCTTGTATCTGCAATAAGAATATTAGATATGTACCCAGCTCATAAAACACAGAAAGCAATAAACTAGCTGGACACAAACCATAACTTACGTCAATGTCAGTGCCAGTGTCTGTTTCCCTGAGGGTAGTTTGTCCCGACTTCCCGTTAGCGTGATAAGTTTAGCATCTACTGGTCGAAATGGAATTCTTAGCTGCCAATGGCAATGCCAATGTCCAAAAGGGAAACAAGTTCAGAATTCGGGGCTTAAAACGAAAAAACCACGAAGAAAATTATACGAAAAAGGAAATCAAAATAACATCACCACAGGAATTATTTCACCTTGTTCAGAACAGCAACAGGAGACAGCTTTTCAGACGCCAATAGAGCTTCAGCGTCAATCCTAACAGGTGCATCACTTCCATCAAGTATAATTTCTTCCTTACTGACGTCAATCCCATGGAAGGCAATCTACAAGTTATCCACTTAAATTAATGAGCATCTTCTAATATTATAAAAACAAATACAAGAAGGAAAATCCAACATCTAAATCAAAAACAGTCAAGCAGCTGCATGTGGCCATTTGTTCATTTGAGGTTATTTATGAACAGCGCTGCAAAAGAGTAAACCAGCTTCAAAGATTAACCGAAGAAACTCATTCCCAGAAGTTCCTATTGAAAAACAAAGAGCTCGTCTGAAGCCCTTGTCTTCAGAGCCACCATTTTCGCTTAATTTTACTTCAGACTTCACCTACCAAATCTTAAATTCTTTTCTGCATTTTTAAAGAATCCTTTTAGCTTCATAGTAACTTGAAGCAAGCATCACTGCAGAACTTAGACTGGGAGGAACCTCAATCAACCTAAATGACAAAAGAATAGGGAATCCAAGGAGTACCTCAAAGTCCACCAAAGTGCCTTCATGACTCCCCAGGCCACTTGACCAAAACTGAGAAACAGCTAGTTCCATTGTTTGCCCACCCACCACAGGAAAAGCAAAGGTTTTGGCACCAGGAGAAGAAAATGTCACAACACTCTCCCATTTGATTGGTCTCTGAAGTGGACAAATCTGCAAGTTGACAGATGTTAGAACTTAGATTAAGTCGATATAGTGTAATGTGCTCATACTGCTTGCTGTACCTGCAGAGTGTCGATGAAAAATCGTCTTGTAGTATCAAACTCTGATGCTCGTACAATCGCCTCAACCCAACTAGCACCAAGTGGCACTTCGATAAACCTTCTTTCAATGTGACCTATTAAGCAGTCGAGAAGAAAAGGTCATAGAGCTTTCAACCAAACTCTATGTCACCATCAATATATGAATATTCAGATACCACATCTTGCAATCATCCTTTTATGAGGGGGAAAAAAAAAACTTGGAACTGCAATTCAGACTTGCTAGCCATAAAAATAGTAATTCTTGTCCAAGTTCCCTCATCCATGCAACAATGTCCTTCTCATTTCCCCTCAGCTTCCACTACCCTCCATATCTTGTTTCGGCAGTTTTGGAAATGGAAGCATGCTTGCCAGAACAACAAAGTCAATGGACAAAACACAATGGTGTCAGCGACGACAATGGTCTACCTGGCAGAAATGACATCTTTGAAAACGAAACCCGAGGAGGCCGATTCTCAACAGTCATAGGCTTTGTAATCGTGATCGGGATTCTGAAAATAGGACCTCGCCATGGTGCCTTGCAATCAACTCCATAGACTTCATAATAATGAAGCCCAGAGCTCAACTTGGAAGGATCAACTACTATACTGAAGAAAGATAGGGAAAGCATGAAAATGTGATTAATAGCTGATGATTATATAATCCGACATGTAATTCAGCGAATATATGAAGTTCAAAGGGCAGAGAAAAGACACACGGAAACTCACTTGAAGCTACGTCCATTGTTGGTTAGAAGGAGATATTCAGGAGGCTTCACCACTGCCTTATCAGTAGAATGTAGCTGAATGCACTCCTCAAAGGGAGCTAGCTCTTCCAGGTTACTCACCCCTTCGTGAAACTTCGGTTCCACTAGCACAGCCCACTGTTAACATATGTCCAAATTACCAAGGCACAAAACTCAGGTGAGCTTACACTTTTTTTTTTTTTCAAAAAGCCTTATTTATACAACTACTACAGTTGCAACAATCATCAGAAACATAGTGAAGATTGAAATCGAGCAAATTGTAAACCAATGGGAGGTAACTGTTCAGAGTTAAGGTTGAAAACAACGCTCAACCATTAGAACATCTGATTCTGTCTACAATACCACACGAAAGTGACCCTAATATTTTATGCTTGCTCATTATTAAGTTCCATCAAACAAACTTTCTCTAAACAATATCAATCAACCATGTCGCAACAGTTTAATGCAAGTGGGAAAAGACATAAGCACGCTAGAAATCTGGTTTATGCACTCCCACAACCTAGAGCACTACTACACTTTTTGGTGGCTTATTAAGTGTCAAAACAACTTCTGCCAAAGGCCAGACAAAGGCAATATTGAAATGCTTCGGCTAAACACAAAAGAAATATACCGGCACGCAATGGCATAAGAATGCCTACAAGCGACTATGTCGTCACCCAGAAAACCATGATTAATTTATAGCATAAAAAATAATGAAACCACCAGACAAGACATAACCAATACCCCAATCAGGTAGAAGTTTATAAATCTATAGAGACCCACCTCAGTAGACTGTTGGCAAGCAGCAGCCTCCCTCAAATAGACGCCTCTGGAAACAGGAGCTGCGTGCAGAGAGCACGATGAATTAAAATCCAAGAGCATTAGAGAAGGCAGGCCAAACACCACAGAAGCTTCAGAGTCAATGAGAAAAGTTGATGACAGTGGCTTCAATTAATGCCTCAAAATGTCATGAACATTAGAAAGCTTATCATATGTGTACTCTCATAATGAACTGTTGACTAACTAATAACCCATGCTTCAGCATAGCAGTAGAATACTTTGTGTTAAGCAACAGACACAAATTCTTTTCAGAATTAGCTAACACAATTCCACATCAACCCCTCACACAAATACTGGCATGTCCAGAGATACTTACTCGATTTGCCTGATTGGTTGACCTTTACATCATACCAGACACTAGGAATGCCTGGGGAGAGACATATGTATTCATATGCCCTGTCATTAAACATACGTTAAGTGATGTATCCCAGAACTGAAAAAATATCGATCCAGTAGCTTTTGTTCAAAAGAGAAGGCAATGCTCAACATATTACTTGTCAACTTGCATCAGCCCTTGACCAGTGGTTAGTTTATCAGCCAACGATTGACCAACAGGTTCAGCGGTATTCTCAAGAGCCTTCCTTACAGTGTATGGGCTTACGCAGACACCCTCTGCCTACAAATAAGTTGTACCACTAGGTTCAGTGCAACTAGCAATGAAACTTTCTGCCTGTGTAAGAAGATAGAAGATCAAATGTGAACTAAAGTTGAGCATCAACATAAACCTTCATCGCACTAATGAGCAATGCAGTTCCACCACAAGCAGATGGAGATGCCATTGATGTGCCATTCATGAGCATGCGCTTTTGAAGAGTCCACGTAGGGACAGGAGCGACCGCCCCACCAGGAGCACTTATAGAGACTCCAAGATCCCCATCAACTGTCGGTCCTCGACTAGACCTGAATTACAATTTAGATCAAATAACTAACTCAAGCGGAAGCGAGAACTGTTACATGAAGGTGAAAAGAGAGTCACAGCTCATCTAGTTTATATGAGTCGGGAATAGTTAAATTATACCAAGTGTACTCAAGGCCTTCAGCAGGTGCTTCCACAACAGAATGAGCACCGGCAGCCATTGCAGGGGAAACATAAGCCCCAACACCTATAATGCTCGAACTTGTCCCACCAGGGGCACCAACAGTACTTAATGCTGGACCACTATTCCCAGCACTACTCACAAATGTAAGACGATGTTTATTGACCACCTAGTTGGAATGAGGAGGTTAAGAATTAGAACAGTCAGAAATTGACAAAAGTGACAACTAAATGGATTTCATGATATAGATATTAACAGCTGAAAATCTCAGGGTTTAATTCATACTTCATTTACAAGATCAACAAAGCGGCCATAATCTGGAAGTAATGCAGGTTCTCCATAACTCATGTTGATAAGATCGCATTTGTGCTGCACAAACAGTAACACACTTCTTAAAAATCAATCACTAAGGTGACATATATATACATACATGTTGATATAGGTTCAATTTTGAGTTTAATATAAAAGGGGCACTGCATTTAGGATCCTCTGGGTGCCCAGGCAATATGCAAAACTAGACCTACCTCAACAGCTGCTATCAGTGCCCTGGTTAAGCCAGTGCCTGTCTCCATTGAACCTAGACGTGAATCTCCTATTTTGCAAGATATTAATTGTGCTCCTGGTGCAATGCCATTCAAAAGAGGCTCCTGCCAATATCAACATGATACAATTTCAGTTTCTGAAATTTTTTGCAAGAGTACACCATAATACCCAGCTAATATGAAAATACCTTAGGGTGGAATGCAGTGGCAATACCAGCAACATGAGTTCCATGAGGGGAACTGTCTGTTACAATGCTTAAGACATTGCCCTCGTCGTAAATATTAAGAACAGCTGTGCATGCATCTAATTTGCTAAATACACCGAACTTCCTCTCAGTCCTGAGAAGAAAATCCATGAATCAGGTTGGCCTTGCAGTCGAAACTCAACAAAGGTATAAAAATTCATTTGTTGCTCTAGGGGTTTTGATTCAAGGAAAGCCTTTGCTTTTGCATTACACAGTTTAAATCCAAGTGCAAATAGAAATAAAACGATATACATTGCTCAGAGTTAACAAGACCAAAAAATCAAGATTGCTGGAAGTTTATACATAGAAGTGACAAACAGAACCAATCACCCTGCCAAATTAGAGTTCATGACAAATACCTGAAGTTGGTAAGTGGCACAAAGTCGGCTAGTTTTCCACAATCAGGATCGTCCTCAAGGCTTTGTGTGTCGAGAGCAGCCCTCCACAACTCTCCATCATGCCACACCACAGCATCTATGACAGGCCCCTTGTCATCATAGTTCTATAACACAAAAATAAAAGATTTAATCAATAGACTACATGGAATTAGTTAATTAGCAAAATAAATGCACATAAACAGCCCCAGGCTCTTACATCAGCTTGCTTCCGGAGTATATCAACTTTGTTCTGGAGATCTTCGCGGCTCCTTTTTAAGTTTGCATCATCTGATTTGGGGTATTTCTGGGAACAAAAGTATCAGAACAAGAAAAATAAGAGAAATGCGTCTTAAGTTCCAGTTACATTAACAGGCACCAACTATACTTGGATTCAACATGCATGGTTACTCACGGTTTGCCTAACTTAAACATAACAAAGAGACCGAAGTGTGGGCAACAGAAACCTGATCAAATTCATCAAGATGCTTCACAGCCTTGGCAATTTCTTCTTGGTTTTTCTCGTCCCATTTCTTTTTTCTTTCTTTCTATTGACCAAACAAACAGTTAGGAGAAGGCAGTACGTCAATCAGTTATGATTCCATCAGACAACATGAACAACAAAATGTTTTGAAGTCCATAAATGACGAGAGTTCATACCTTCAATCGGGAAGTTAATGTGTCAGTAAATAGCTCATATACCAACTTATAACCCACATGCCATTCACCAGAGGGATTTTTCCACGAAGAATTCACAACCAAAGAAGCACCTGTTTGTATTCAGGACCATGATGAGTTTTCAATTCGACAGGAGAACAACTAGACGTCACTTCAGATAAATTCAAATCCAAATCACCAATTAGACACAGTTTTTAGCAACTTATACCGTCATATAGATATGTGGACTAAACTAAGATGACTTTACCAGAAGAATATGCGATCACAGAGAGTTCTCAAATAATAAGCTAGATGACAGGCATTACTGTAGCAGAATCCATCATGAATCGTCAAAGTTGAAGCTCAAATGTCCATGCCAATGAGGAGTATAAGCAACGCAGAGTGGTTGTGGCGAGGCATGCGCCAACACTGAAATTAGAAACGGGTTCAATTACTCTGAAACTGACCTGAAGCTCCACGAATGCAGCCATCAGCATCAGCCTTAACCACTTTTGAAGTGTCGACATCACCGCTTCCGGTACTGAAAGCACACGATCACATTTTTCATTTTCAAATTCAAGCAAGAGCACTTCTCACTTCCCTACCTAGGAACTGAATTCGATTCTCGAGCGGGATTAGGAGATTACCAATCAATAACATCCAAGACCTTGGGCTTCCCCTCCGTCGTCTCTTGTAATCCAGCCGCCGCCGGGTCCACTCCGGAGTCTAATTCCAGCACAGGAAAAACGAAATAAGAAAGAATCAACCATACGAACTGCACAGCCAGTAAAGCACACACATCGCAGCCGGAGAAATCACAATACCGAAAATCGCAATGACGACGCCGCGGCCATCGTAGCGAGGATGAGCCTCGATGAACCGATCAGCGCCAATCTCCTGCTTCGGCATCAGAGAAGCCAAGAAAGTGGACTCGTTGAGCTTGAAATTCCGGAGAGCGCCGTTCTCGTCGGCTCCACCTCCGCCGCCACCAGAGACCTTCACCTTCGACGAACAAGGCATCGCCACGCAACCTCCAACTCGCCTACTTCTACTACTCCTAAAGGAGTAATTATGAAAGTGGCCCCGCTCTCTCCCGGCTCGCCCGCCCTTGCTTTTGCCGCCGTTGACCAGAGCGTTGGGGGAAATGATTAGAGAAGACGGAGGAGGGAAAAGGAGAATACCAGTTGGAGTAAGAGTGAGAGCTCTCGGAAGATTTTGATGCGAGAAAAGGAATGGCGTCCCGGCCCAACGGATGCGTGTTAGTACTGGGCTCTGCATTTAATATTGGAGGGGGGCGTTTGGGTAATTTCAGGAATTGAGCGGTGGCGGTGGCGGCGGCTGTGAGGCAGAGCAGTAATGGCTGGGTGGTGTGAGAAATGGTGATGTGGTGCGACTTGGTGGCTGGTGCAATGATAAAGCGGCGTTGGTCAGTTGCTATAGGCCTGGAGTGGTGGCGATTGACTGGACGTGGATTGGGTGGCGTGATCATCGGAAGGTGTGAGATTACCCGGATTGTCCTTGCATGGAGAGGGAATTCCTCATATGCCCTTCGACCCAAAAACGTGACGTGGCTGTGGGACCCTTCTCACGCATATGATTCTGCGGCATAGTTCTTGGCTGTACTACTGCAGTCCGCCTTTGTTACGTAACCTTGTCGTCTTTCCTTTGTTTAAGGGGTCGTGCGATTGTTAAATAGATATATTGTTGAGAATGCGTGTATAATATTATACATGAATTGTCGAATTTGATGCATTGTAGAATACAACGTTTGGTATGTGTGATTGTGTATGTCGCATCAGCTAAAAGTTGAGACAAAACAATTTCAACTCAACTATCTCAACAATCACAACTAAAAGTTAAGCTATAACAATCACTGAAAATGAGTGATAGTTTCTCTCAAATCACAGAAACAATTCATGTATTGTTACTGCTAAAAAACAAAAAAACTATACATTGTAAATAATACATGCATAATGACAATCTCAACAAAACTATCGTAACTTCTAAACTATCCCTAAGTAACTCTCGTGGATCTCGAGACTCGAGAGATCCTACTTAGTTAAGGACTCCACGTGCAGTTTTTACCGACGATTAGGATTTTGTCCAATTGGGCTTGGGTCATAATTTGAGAGGAGAAGACGTAAGCAAATTAAATCTCAGCCCACTGGGCTTGACTCTCCTCATTTCTTGGACCGAGCCCACCACCGTGTTCCCTGGGCTAGCCATCCTCTTGATTACCTAACAATATTATTTCAGCAATCACAGTTTCAACTTTCATAAAAGGAAAAGAGAAGATCACTCCACCATTGCGGAACTAAGAATATATATAATCATCTTAATTACATACGTTTGACTTGCACTAAGCAAAAAAAAATCCCAAACAATGGTTGGAGGAAGATATGAAGAAGCCTCTCATATCTCTAGCAATATTACAGACTTACAGTAGTCACTGTAGGAAGAAGATATGAAGAATGAAGGGCACTGTTCTTGCATTTTTTTTAATCAAGATGTATCCTTTGTTTTCCCTTTCTCTAGCCTAAGGTCAATTGCTAAGCCTACAGATGACTCTCCCATGGAAAAAATAGCTTTGTGTATAGTATATCTAACTTTATCTACACTCTTCGATTAACGAATCATGCATCCATTTTCACAGTGTTTTTTCTAATACAAAACTTTTTGTGTTCACAAATCATCATTTTGAGCGATCTGGGGTATAAGATTGTGGCAGTGCCGGTCACATGGATAAGGACAGTCGACTAACTTGGTTACGTTCCTTCCAAAGTACCAGTCACCAACAGCCTCCGCCATTGTCTGCACACAAAAAAAAACCCAATCAACCTCACAAATATTACCTTCATTCTACTAAAATGTTTAATATGATAGTGGTATTGTAAAAAAAAAAAAACATTGAATAAGATTGATGAACCTTATTATGTATTCTCGGCGAGTCGAGTGCAAGCCACGTGGGTTGTAACTCGCTCTGACAATGAGAGAAGCATGAGTTTATGAACATTCCGTCTCTCCTTGAACCCCTGAATATGAACAACGACGCCTGCAACATCTCTCGCCTGAATCCTGAAATCAGAAGAATCGTATCTTTACATAACATTTGTGGACTTCAAAGGGTGAAAGGTTCTCTCGATCACGACGGCGACTTGATTATGGATAAAATAGTATATGCTTGTATAATTTTTCATCAATCATATCACCAATACCGATCACATGTATAATCAATCTCATGTAAACCATGATTAACATCATATCCAAAACTAGTTAATATACGAATTTATTGATTTTCATTTAATAAGTCGTACAAGCGAATAGAGTACACCGCTACTCTTTTAAACATCTCTGAACCACTTGAATCATTGTGACAAGAATCATCCCCGACAATCTATGTGGTCAATGTATATGCTGTTAGCAATATTAAATAGTAGTAGGTAGTTAATTGTAATTAGCCCTTTGATTATTATTATCGCCTACTACTACGTGAGAGAGAGTCGGCCGGCTAGGGTAGATATATGTTGTGATAGCCGGCTATTTGACCTAAGGGGATTCTCTGATAATACTATTGACTCTGAGAGGTTGGTCCTCTCCGTGGATTAGTCTCAACGATACTCGTTGAGGATACCACGTTAATCTCGTGTGTTCGCTTTTTGATTGTGTTTGACATGGTATCAGAGCCTGGTTGACGATCCTAGGCTTTGCTTCAGTGTTCTCTGACTTTGGTTTCCTGTTCGTGATCGACAGCTTCTGTTTTTTAGCTTTGGTGATTATTGGGCTGGTGTGTGCTTTTGGCTTTGGTGATTATTCAGCTGGTGTATGTTTGGCTGCTTTCTTGGTTCTGGATTTTAGGCGGTTCTCGGCATTATATTTTTGGTTCTTGTGCGCGTCTGATTCTCGGCTTGTTTCGTGGCCATTATTGCTTTTACTTGGCCTCATGGAGAACTCTAAGTTGGATGCTTTTACTGTTCAGTTTGATGGCAAAAAATTTGCCTTGTGGGAATTTCAATTCCGACTGTTTGTTCAAGGGCGCCGGCTGTCCTCTATCCTCGATGGGACTGCTGTGGAGCCTGGTGAGAATGCTACGGCGAAGGTGAAAGAGGATTGGGAGGCTAATAATGCTCAAGTTATGGGGTGGATCCTAGGATCAGTCGATCCCTCGATTGCCCTTAGCTTGCGCAGCTTCACCACCGCTCATGCTATGTGGAGTCATCTGACGGCTTTCCATTCCCAATCAAGTGCCTCTCGGAAGTTCGCTGTCGAGCTGGATATTGCTCGGTTGCATCAAGGGAACATGGATATCCGATCCTACTATCAAGTAGCTATTACTTTGTGGACGGAACATGATATGTTGACTATGTCCTTAGTCTCTGCAACCGCATCGGCCGAGGTTCAACAGGAACGTACCAGTTCTCGTCTAATGCATTTTTTGATGAAACTGCGCCCGGAATTCGAGAGTATTCGTTCATCCTTACTTCATCGCAATGTGACTAAGCTGGAGGATGTCTTGAGTGAGTTGATTCGAGAGGAAACTCGCCTCCGCAGTCAAGCTAAGCTTGACGTTCATCAGGCTGATTCTTCATCGGCGTTTGCTGTGGCTAGGGCGTCCGGGCGTCAGGCTACGCCTCCTGCTGGTTCGGCTGCTTTTGCGGTTAATCCCGAGCGCCCTCGTTTTCTTCGTGCTGCTAGTGGGGAGGTTATATGCTATTATTGTCGGGAACCTGGGCATGTCCAACTTCATTGTCCGAAGTGCAATATATGCAATTATTGTAAGGCATCCGGGCATAAAATTGGTGCATGTCCAATTCTAGCTCAGCGTGGACGGGGTGCTCGTCCGTCAGGGTCGAGTTCTAGTGCGTTTCGTGGGCCTCGTCCAGCCCCTACCTCTGGTTCTGCCTTTGCCACCACTTTGGTGCCTGCTGCTTCTTCTTCTCCGCAGGTGACAGGACTCTCTCACGAGGTTGTTCAGCAAATGGTGCAGGCTGCGCTAAAGGATGCCCTTCCCTCGGCCCTTGGCTCCATCTTCTCGGCTGGTAGGCCTTCTCGTCCCTCATCATTTTGGTATCTCGATTCTGCCGCTTTTAATCATATGAATGGCACCAGTTCCTCATTTAGTACACTTCAGTCGAACTCTTCTGTTAAGCTACAGGTAGCAGATGGTACTTGTTTATCTGCACAAGGGACAGGGGTGGTGAAGCAAAAGGGGTTGTGGTTGTCGGATACTTTATATGTTCCCAAACTTGTCCCTAATCTAGTGTCTGTTGGTCAGCTGACGAAGGAAGGCTGTCGGGTTGTGTTTGATGAGACTGGTTGTACTGTGCAGGACAAGTGGACAGGGATGAAGATAGGGCATGGGAGTAAGGTTGGGAGAGTCTATACTTTGGATAGCTATTCTCGCGAAGCTCAAGGTGGTGATGTGCGAGCTGCTCCAGCGCTTGACGGGGAAGCTATTCAAGGATCCACTGGTGGTTCTGGCACTTTAGATTTGTTTGGTTATTCAGTTAATTCCGTTAAGTTGTCAAACTAGGATTTGTGGCATCGTCGGCTAGGCCAACCTCATTCGGCACGTTTGAAAGAAATGTTTAAGAATAAATTGTTGTCGGGTAGCTCTGCCTCTGATTCTCATGACTGTGTTCACTGTATTGAGGCCAAACTATCTCAACAATCTTTTAGTTCCAGTACTACAGTTTATTCGAAACCTTTTGATCTAGTTCATACTGATTTATGGGGTCCTGCTTCCGTGACATCTCGTGTTGGGTTTCGCTATTTTGCACTCTTTATTGATCATGCCACTCGGTATACCTGGGTGTACTTTCTTAGTCAGAAGTCGGATTTACTGCAGGTAGCTAAGGAATTTTTGCAGATGGTTCACACGCAGTTCGGGAAACAGGTGAAGGTTCTGCGATCGGACCCTGGGGGTGAATTTTCATCTGGACCTCTTCAGGAAGTGTTCAAGGAACGTGGGATTTTGCCTCAACAGTCTTGTCCTGGTGTCTCTCAACAAAATGGACTGGTTGAGCGCAAACATCGTCACGTCTTGGAACTCACTCGAGCTCTTCTCTTTCAATCATCAGTGCCGGCTCGGTTTTGGGTGGAAGCTGTTCATACCATCGTCTACTTGATTAACCGGCAACTCACTCCTGTCCCATCGCAGCGCAGCCCGTATGAGACACTCTATGGCAAGAAGCCTCACTATGACTGGTTAAGGGTTTTTGGATGTGTTTGTTACGTTCTTTTGCCTCGCCGCGAACGCTCCAAGTTGATGCCTAAAGCAGTTAAATGCATGTTTGTGGGATATAGTGAAAAGCACAAAGGGTACGTGTGTTATGATGCTTCTAATCAGCGCATCCGAATATCCTATCACTTTGCGTTTCTTGAGCACCTACCTTACTATGGAGACTCAAAGGACGACCATGACCCACAATTGAGCTTCCTTTGGCAGCCGCATCTTTTTCCCAGTTTGCCCACTGAGGTACCAGAAGCTCCAGACCCGCCCTCTCCATCTCAGGACCTTGCTTCTCTCCATAGTGCAGTAGAGATGAGTGATTCTTATTCTAGCCCATCTCATCAGTCCACCAATCAGTCATCTTCTTTTGTTTCATTGGGGTCCTCTTCTAGTTCACACTCCTTGTCTTCGGCAGAAGAGCATTCCACGTCCCCAATTCAGAATGAGGTGGGCAACGCAGCTACTCCTCCACTTCGGCGCTCCGATCGTGTCACCCGAGGCCAACCACCTCTTCGCATGACGGATTTCGTTGCTTTCTCCACGTCCCACATTCCTGACCCAGCCACGTACAAGCAAGCCAGAGGCAATCACCATTGGAATAAAGCCATGGATGTCGAAATAGATGCCCTTGAGGCCAACCATACGTGGGATGTAGTGGACCGTCGTCCGGAGTATCATGTAATTGGGTCCAAATGGGTCTATAATGTTAAGTTGCATCCAGATGGATCTCTTGAACGCTACAAGGCTAGAGTGGTTGCTCAAGGATTCCGCCAGGAATTCGGGATAGATTATGAGGAGACTTTTGCTCCGGTAGCAAAGATGCAGACTGGGCGCACACTTCTTGCGATTGCGGCTCTGAAAGGGTGGCAGTTAAAGCAGTTGGACGTCAAGAATGCTTTTCTCCATGGTGATCTGAAAGAGACGATTTATATGGAGTGCCCTCCAGGTTATTTGAACGGTGACAAGTCAAAGGTTTGCTTACTACGTCGTTCTCTCTATGGACTGAAACAGGCATCTCGTGCATGGTTTGAAAAATTCCATGAGACGATCTCCTCCACTGGGTTTATTCAGAGTGATAATGATCCTTCTTTATTCTTGTGTCGAACTACTCGGGGACTTACAGTTCTTCTTATCTATGTGGATGATATGGTAGTTAGTGGTGATGATGTTCAGGGTATTCAGGAGTTAACTCAGACGCTGCATTCGGCATTTAATTTGAAGGAGCTTGGTGATTTATCTTATTTTTTGGGATTAGAGGTCCACCGGTCCTCGGATGGTATTTTAGTTGGTCAACGAAAATATGTCGTGGATCTTCTTGAGACTGCTCAAATGGATACTTGTGAGCCGTGTGCCACCCCGATGGAACAGAATTTGAAGTTACGACAGAGTGATCGTGATCTTCTTGGTGATGGAAGCTTTTATCGTAGCGTGGTTGGGAGCTTAATTTATTTGACCCATACCCGTCCAGATATTTCTTATGCTGTACAGATAGTCAGCCAGTTCATGGCTGCACCCAGGACGTCTCATATGGTGGCAGTTCGGCGCATCTTGCGCTATTTGAGTGGCACGCAGGATGTGGGGTTGTTCTTCCCTGCCAAGGGTGATGCAGTGATTGAAGCTTATGCCGATGCTGACTACGCAGGGTGTTTAGATACTCGACGATCTACTTCTGGGTGGTGTGTGAAGATTGGTTCATCATTTGTGTCTTAGAGGTGCAAGAAGCAGGAGCGAGTGTCAAAATCTTCTACAGAGGCCGAGTATCGATCGATGTCTGAGGTTACCTCAGAATTGGTCTGGTTGCGTCGACTGGTTGCCGAGCTTGGTCTAGCCTGCACTTTACCCATGCGGTTGTATGCTGATAACACTAGTGCCATCCGGATAGCCACAAATCCGGTTCTTCATGATCGCACGAAGCACATAGAAGTCCATGTTCATTATATCCGTCAGTTGGTGACTGCAGGAGAGATAGCGCTATCTTATATCACCTCCGAAGAACAGACTGCCGATCTTCTCACGAAGGCAGTCTCGAGTGCCCGTCATTGGTTTTTGGCTTACAAATTGATGTTGCGTAAGCATCATCAATTTGAGGGAGGGTGTTAGCAATATTAAATAGTAGTAGGTAGTTAATTGTAATTAGCCCTTTGATTATTATTATCGCCTACTACTACGTGAGAGAGAGTCGGCCGGCTAGGGTAGATATATGTTGTGATAGCCGGCTATTTGACCTAAGGGGATTCTCTGATAATACTATTGACTCTGAGAGGTTGGTCCTCTCCGTGGATTAGTCTCAACGATACTCGTTGAGGATACCACGTTAATCTCGTGTGTTCGCTTTTTGATTGTGTTTGACATATGCATGGTGAAGTGTAACTAACCTTGCAAGAGGTTGATCTGAGCAGTGTTGCACTCTGACAATTGAGTCTTGCAACTCTTCCAGAGTCCCTGGATATCCGCGGAAGGTGGTACCAATATGTGGTTTATCTGCATATACGTGGCTATTTCTGTTACAACTTACAAGTTCCATTTTGGGGTTGAAATTTTGAAATTGCATATAAGGAAGTGTTCATTTTCAGAAACCAAGACTGATTGGAGAGATGAGTTTTACCTGGTACACGTCGTAAGCTGAATTCAGGAGGAAGAATGGTGTCGTAATGTATCTCAGAGCGTACTGCGGGAAGAAGCACTAACAGTAAAAAAAAAAACAATTAGAATTTAACTACCAGAAAAATCATGTTAATTTTTCAGTAACTGCAAAATATTTTTACCAGCTTGGGGTTGGCCAGGGAAGCTTTACAGTCCTCATTCAGGTTCTTCTCCACTCCCTGAAGCGTGACCAGATCTTCGTACAAGCTCCTCATGGTAAAGTTTGAAGCTATGTCTTTCCTGCATATATATATATAGATACCAGCTGTTAGCGAACTAACCACTTGCCCCCAATAATTCGAGTTGTTGGGAAATGGATAGTTAAGCCTTTTAACCTCTTATACGCCCCCTCAAACGAAAGCCGATGCCGAATTGTGGATTTTTACGGTTTGCTATCAATGCATTACTCTGTTATTTATTTATTTTTATTTTTTTTGCTATCAATGCATTACTCTAAAACAAGAAAGCACTAACTTATCATTCACCGAAAAAAGAAGAAAAAAAGAGAACTTACGCGTCCAGGAAGAACCCGGCGTCGCTCAAGCATTTCACCGTGGCGTTCGGTAACTTCCTGGAGAAATCATCGCAGTGGTGGAAAACCGACAATCCTCCAGCAGAGCAACCCGAAAGCAGCGCCTGAAAAGGAGGGACGTGTGGTCGGTAAAGACGGTAAAACAACAGTGAGAGTTACTGTTTATTTGGGCTTGGGCAAAATTTTGTTGGGCTTGCTTTATTATTAATTACCTTGCGTGCGTGGGCCAGTCCTCTGGGGAGGAGATGGGTAATGATGGCATCCCAAATCCTCTGCCCTCTGAAGTAAACAACCGATGACTGTGGTAAAATCCAGACAAATGATTAATTTAAGAAGGTTAATTAGTAGGGTAACTAATGTTACAGCGAAGGCTGAATTTAAGTTACCTTGTTGCGGAAGTGGGAATCTCCGGTGAAGGAGGCTCCGTCGCAGTATCTAAGCTTCACCCGGTTCCAATTGTAAAAGTCTGATGATAATTAAGCCAACAAATTAAATAAGGCCCGTTACATTGACCCAAGTTGCACTCCAATTTGATTTTTCCTGTTAATTAAATTTGTTTAACACAACGGTTTTCATATTCTTAGTATATCCATAAGTTTGGATATCCGTTCGAATCAGATCCGAAATTGATGAAAATAAAATAATCGGTAAAGTCTTATCTATAATTATTTTTTAACTTCATCTTTTGTATGAGAGATTTTGGTTATGTCAAATTAATTTCACCCGATAGAATTTGGCATGATGCTATTTGGATCACTTTCTTTTCGTGTTGTCGAAACACTAGAGATTTAATTTAAGAAAGGAAGAGAGTGCCAATGGGATGGCGAAGCAAACAAATTAGGGTTTGGAGGAAGATGCCAAAAGGGAAAGTATGGCAGAGCATGCAGCACCAGACGGTTTCTGTCTGGTCTTGCCGGCAATCATTTCTCCTTCAGATCAAGCCTTCGGACCAACTTTTTGGCCTTGCCGGCGAATTATTGATCACGTGAAAGCACGTGACAAAAGTATCAACAGTGGAACACTGCATGTTTGCCCCATAACAATTAGGAAAAAATTGGAATTCATGGCCGACTAGAAGTTGAATTTTGAAGACCAAATTAGAATATGGGGTCTTTATACATATATATACACGATGATCATTTTGGTGTAGTCATTTTTTCTGTGTAACTAATTTTAAAACTAGTCATAAGACATTTAATTATGAATTTTTATTGGTGGCATTAGTCAAATGTAATTATATAATATAAAATCACAACTTTTCTCATCTTCATAAAAAAAACATAGGATCACAACAAATCAATGCATTATCCTAAGCCCTAAACTTTCAATTTTAATCGTAATCCTAAACTTCAAATTGTAAACCCTAAATCCCTAAATTATAAAACCTTCTAACCAAAGTAAATTTTGAATGATTTTTGTGCATATTCATGTATTTTTTTTTTTTTGTCTATCATATCACTAACGGTGATTGATGTTGTTTTGACATGAATCTTCTTCTCAGAATGACGAAAATGAGGCGAGTACATTGAATCCATAAAAAAAAAAAGTGGGTTCAATATATAGAGCATAGCGAAATTGTTCATTGACGCCTTTTATGAGGAGGAGCGATAACATGGAAAGTTCAAATAAATTGTGATAGCAAGTCATTCAATATGTATAATTTAACTCTGATACTCTTTATACATTGTATTCTTGACGACGATAATGAAAATTGAATCGAACTTAGCGTTGAGATAAGGAGAGGCAATGTACCTGGATTAAAAGATGCATTGTTGCTCAAGATCCCCGAGAAGACTTCTTGTTTGTTCATAAGAGTGGTGGATCCCCGCCGTGTTCCGGCTCTCATCAAGCACGATTCCACGTCGTTACACCACCCACCTCCCTGCAAAATGAGGGGGGGATTTTAAACTACAATATTCCTATGATCAAAGGCAAAATCCAACGAAGAATGCCCATTTCCAAGATGGAAGAAAAGTAATTAAGTTTTTTTGTCAAAACTACAACAAAGATTCGATCTTTGGAAGAGCAACTTTTGTTTCCACTTTCCCACCCTTTTTTCCCCCTAGTTACTACGACCAAACAAGACTTTTGGCTTGCGTATGGTGAAAGCAAGGGATATAAACAGAACAAAAGGGACACGAGGAGGAAAAGTTATAGGTTGGCAAGTGGGATTTAGTTTTGGGTTGGGATTTAATTTTTACATCTTTTGAGACATCCACCAAAACCTCAGAAGACTTTTTTCTTTTGTCTGTTGAAATTAGGGGTGTCAGTTCGGGTCGGGTTCGGTTATCCAAACCAAAACCTGAAAAAATTCAAAAACCCGAAATCAAAAATCACTAAAACCGAATCCGATAAGGACTTGTGGTTTCCGGTTATCCGAAACCCGAAAATTTTTTGTCAAGTTCGGGTTTGGTTTAAAGCAAAACCGAAACCCGAAAACCCAAACGCCTAAAAATACGGGCTGAGTTCTATTCATTGGAGGTTTTTAGCCGGAAGCCGAAAAATCGATAAGCAAAACCGAACCCGAAACTAAAAAACCCGAAATCCAAAACGAACCCGAAAAACCGAAAATGTATATAATCGGGTCGATTTCTGGTAAACCCGAAAAATCGAACACCCCTAGTTGAAATGGTAAAGCTTTGTTCTTTTCTTTTTGGGAATGCTTGGCAACTGGCTAGTTGTTTGTTTATGCAGAGAGAGTTACAAGGTGGGGGAAAGGACGTCAATTACCTGACAACCCAATCAAAATTTGATTTTGTCCTGTGTAGGGTAAAGGATCATATGATGCAACAAGTCACAATTCAACCAATTAGTCAACACAAGAACAAATTCACAAGTTGTCAGCACAAGAAACTAAAATTAGATCAGTACAAACAAATTTAATTGCCCTAAAATTCGCTCTCTAGAACGTAGAGTCATGATTAGGAATTACGAAATTATTGAATTTTAGATGTGAGCAGGCCTGTAGGGTCCATAGTTTTCATTACGAATTACACGAAATCAAACAACATAATGAACGATTTATTTTTATTCTAAATCGTTAAAAACCGCAGTTAGTATATGTCGTATACATAGTTCTAAAGACTGAAGACAACGAGATCCAATGCAATGATATTATTATTAAGTAATAAGTAATAACTCTAAGTTTATAGGCTGCAGACATTGTAATTGTAGTCACATTTTTGCATGCCAGAGAACAACAAAGATATGCTCTGGCTGCCATTAGCATAGCAACATGGAGGAGCACGAGACACAAGGCTCAACAACTGCTCTGTCAAAAAAATGAATATTGGCTTTCTTTTTCATATTTCAAACCAAAGGAAATTTTATTTTAATTTATTAATTCATGATTTATTTATAAATAAATTACCTCGAACTGCAAAAGCCAGTTGGTGGCTCCAGCGCCGGAACCTCTGTGGAGATGATACGCAGGCAAGCTCCCGTCCAAGCAAACTGCGCAAAAAACCCAAAACCACACTCCCACTTTAATTCATTGAGCTCGCCACAACAAAATAGATACGAAAGCCATCGTATATAACCATACCGGCGCCGGCATCGGCGGCGTCGCGAACCAGAGTCATCGGCACCATAAGCCTGCCGTCGCCGGCAGAGCAAAAGCGCGGCAGAGTCGGACAGAGCAGGAGAAAAACCACCGCAACCGTAAACGTGACAGAGTAATCATTACGAACCAATGATAATCCCGTCATCTTTACAAAAATCAATTCGGGACAGAGAGATTGGATTGGAGGAGGAAGGGAAGAAAAAAAAAACAGGGGATGGGATTACTCTGCTAATGGATGTACGAGAAGGAGATGATGATAATAATAACATTCCCTGGCCATGGAATGTTATTAAATAGGCGCTGCTGGTGTATTATTAAATGCGGTATAAGCAAGAAATTGAATGTGTAAATGGAGTAAATAAGGGCAGTAAAGTCGCAGTCGAAGTTAAACTTGGAAGCTTCGGTTTTGGTTCCTGAACGGGAAAAACAGAGTGACCCTCCAGAAAAGGAAGAATTGAAGCCCGGAAAAGGGATGAAGTGAACCTGAAACTCTGAAAGTTGGATTCTTTTTCTGGGTATTTGGAATTTGGGAATGCTAAGTTCAAGGGGGGAGCCAACAAGATCGTTGAAGTTAAAACAGATGGAGAAGATTGGGGGGAAAGAGACGTGGAGAGAAAGAGAGAGCTCTCTCTGTTTTGTGGTGGGAGAGTAGCGTTTTTCGTTTTGGCTCTGGTTGAGGAAGGTCCCCACTGGCAGCCAAACTGAAAATGACGGAACAGACCAGGAATAAGATAATTAGGAGAAGGTGGTGATGATGAAGATGATTGAGAGTTGGGAGAGCCAATCTGATCTGAAAATGTGATGCTAATTACCAACCAGCAGGTGTAGTGTAAGGTGGGGCGGGTGGTGGGTAATGGACCAATGCTGGGCGTAACGTGGGCTATCTAAAAAAAGGCTGACAACAAGAGCTGTTTTGATGAAAAAAATATGCATTAGTCGAGTTAGATTTACCAGAAACAATGTTCATAGAGCTTTTAAGGAGATATTGATATGACACCTATACTATAGATGATTGTTTGTACAAATCAAGTTTAAACTAGTTTTATGTTGCGGGTCTAAGTCGAAGACTCATAATTCGTTTTGTAATGAGTCGTTATATTGTGTAATGGGCTTTGAGGATTTTTTTTTATATGTGTGCTTTGAAATGTTGTATTTGTCTAACTATGTGTTTCTGTGATTTAAGTAAAAGAAGATAAATGAATAATAAGTGGTTATATAGAAGAAAGAGAGGGATCGAGTTGTATTGATAAGAATCTATAGAATATAATAAGACTTTTCCAATTTACGACCTCACAGATTCAAATTTACCAGCTTCTCAAGCCTCCACGTCAGCAGGCTTTCAGCCAATCACATTGCTCCAGGAAAAACCAAAACCTAAAACCCCAAACGGCCATTCCCTTCTTCCGAACCTCCTCTCCTCCGCATCCCGACTTCCAAATCACTAACGTGTAACCGCAGTCCACCACTCCTTCTCCAATGACAAACTATTTATGCCCTCTCCTCCCTACTATCCGCTCTGATTTCGAAACTTGCATCAGTGGAAACTACGTTCATTCGCCACAGTTGATTCCCCTTATTGCCCATTTCCCGACCATTTTCCTCCTCTTGCAGTTGAAGGAGACGTCGTTGCGGTTCTATGTCTGTCTGGCAATGAGAAGGGTCGCCTTGGATTAGATCTCACATCACCTTCCACACCTACGTTGGCCCCGTCATCTCTTCATCTTCCTCCCCAACTACCACCACAAAGACGAACTCACTCAACCTCCCCCGCTGCAGTCAAATTGCTTCCGCCAGACGGCGGAGCGCCTCTCCTCCATTCTCTGTCCCAACGAAATTAGAGACTTTGCTTTCAGAAGACTCCCCATACCCCTTCGATTACCGCGATTGACCGTTCGATTCCCGCCTCGACGTTCTCAGTGTTGCCTCCATCCATAACCTCTACAGAAGCGAAAGGTTACCTAACTTTGGTCCAATTGTGTGATTACTTTCAAGAGGGAGTCTTTCCTCACTTACCTAATTTTTGTTCCTGTATATACTGGAGTCATATTGCCACATGGGCAAGACCCAATTTCTCTCAATTTTCATGTATGAGGTTAGGTTTTATGCAGGGATTGAGTTCATGCAATAGGTTCTGGTGTTCTGATGATTTCGCTGAAGTGAGGGTTAAAATTGGACTCTATAATGAAATTCTATTGAGGCACCCTTTTTCTCTTACTAATGGGTATGTATTCATCATTGCTTCTTAAATAATTACTTTTTTGAATGTTCATTCGAAAGATAACAAATGCTCAGCACCTCTGCAGGCTTTCCAATTGAATCAGTCAATTTTGGTTGCTTTTCTGCGTCATTTACATGTAGACGGAGTTCACGGTTCTGGGTTGGTTCTGATCTATGTCCTTTCTGCGTCTATTGCAATAGGGTGAACCAACCTTCCATTTTTTTGGGTTTATAATGTGTATTGCTACTACAGCATCAAGGGCTCTTAAGTTAGTCCTCCAGGATATATTGCTTTCTTCTGAGGGTAAGCTTTTCTTTGTGCTATCAATACTTTTGAAATGAATTGGATGTTGGCATGTTTAATATACCGGGAATGCATGCCGAAATGTTAAGTTTTTTGTTATTCATGTCTTAACGAAGAAATTAAATTCTATGATGGTTAGAAATTAAATAGTATTAATAAGAAACTAACTTTACCTATTGTAAAATCCGTCAATTGCTCAGCTTTCATTTGCCGAAGTTTATGTAGCATCCAACCTAGGAACTGCAATTCTGCTATCGCTCTCAGCTTTGTCCTTTTCTGCTGTCTTTGAGGTAAGATTACTTGCTGACAAACTTTATGTCTTCTTCCCCTTTGAACTAGACCAGAGTGACATTGTTGGGGAAATTACGATGGAAGCATATGCACTAAGAAACACTATGAAGATTTGTGCAAGCAAGTTGAAATTCTGCAGATGAGCAGATTAAATGAGGCTAAGGAGCTTCCCCACTTGAAGTGAGCCACTTCATGTTTGTAAGGAATGAATTGAGAAATTCTGATAAAGCCCCAGATAGCCTCGGTTCGGCAGGAAGCAAATAATGCATTCGTAGGTTCGGAGCCTTTGTGCCATAATGGTGACTACTTGGATTAAACTGCAACCAGGAGGTTAAGTTGGATCAAGAAGATCTATCTAACTTTTAATGCACATATAAGAGCCCGATCCATCTAGATATGTTATGCAAATAATGCATTGGTCTTTTTACTTTGGATAATAACACCTTCCCATTTGTTTAAATTTTATCCTATTGTAATGTCAAAAATGATTGTGATTTTATACAAGTATTACCCGGCCAACGGACCGGGTACAAAGCTAGTGGAGAATACAAGATAATACAACATGTAGTAACAGGGGAAAAAAACATATGAAATGTCAAATAGATGTGTGACGAAAAATGAAAGCACATGTTTGTAAGTGTTGGATACACGTTTTCTTTTAACTTTAGTTCTATTTAGTGTTCCAATCATAATATCACAACTTATAATACTACAAATGTATGCTTGTTTGGAGCTCTTTCAAACCCGATCAGGCTGCGAAGGAAATGGTATTAAGCGTTTGCAAGTTGCAACCTTCATGGTTATTGTAAACGAATCTCACAGCGATAAAGCATGAGTTAGATATCCATGATTCGTCTATAAGAAACTAGGGGTGGTATTCAGTCGGTAACCGGTACCGACTTTACCGGTTTTCGGTATGCCGAGTGTGGGTAAGTGGGAATCGATTACCGATACCGGTTTGTAACCGGTTTACCGGTTACCGAATTACCGGTAAACGATTACAAACCGGTTTTACCGACTTACCGTAAGGAGTAGTTGCGGACGTTTTTTCGGTTCGGTTTACCGGAAAATTACCGACCGAATTTCTGGGCAATGGGGTGATGTTATAATATTTTGATTTTTCTGAGTTTTTTCTTCATTTTTGTAATTATAAATTATTATTAACTCTTATTTATAATATTTTTTAGTCCTATACTTACTTACTTTCATTAATGTATGTAATATTTGTGAATAATGAAGTATATGTTATTAGTTAATGCCTTAAATGGTCCGGTATCGGTATTACCAAATTACCGTCGGTATTTACCGATACTGGGGCCAGTAAACCGAACTTCCCCATTTGACCCTCGGCTGCCGATACCGCCGGTAAACGGTTTACCGTTTACCGCCGGTTACCAGTTCGGTAAAACGGTAAACCGTTTACCGACTTACCGTTTGTCACCCCTATAAGAAACCAACCTTAATTGACAATACGCGTTTTGGACTGAAATGGAGGAGTTCTTTTAAGAATCTGAAGTTAAATGTGCTCAACATAGATGACTGTAAAGATGAGTAAACCTAGGAAAAAATCCCAAAGTACACTAGTTTTTAAAAAAAATTCCCAAAATACATTAGTTATAAAAAAAATTCCAAAACTACACATGTTTGAGCATCACCGTTTTTGTCTAAAACGGTGAAGGTCATCACCGCGTTTGACAAACACGGTGAGTACTTCACCGTTTTATACTAAAACGGTGAAGGGTTCACCGCTTTTGTTAAAAACGGTGAATACCTCACCGTTTTAATTTAACACGGTGATGCCTTCACCGTTTTAAACTAAAACGGTGAAGGCTTCACCGTTTTTGTCGGCCGCGGTGAAGTTGCTGACGTGGACAGCACGGGGTATTCACCGCGTTGGACAAACACGGTGAATAACCCGTGTTTGTTTGCGTCAGCAATCCGCGCCAATGTGCTTTCACCGTGGCCGTTAGATGCGGTGAGACGCGGATCGTGGTTTTCTTCCCACGATCCGACGCCTCACAGCACGCCACGTCACCATTGCATTCACCGCGTTTGGATAAAGCGGTGAGTTCACCGCGTTCATCAAACGCGGTGAATGGAGCCCTAATAACTGCGCAGCAGCTCCTCCCCCCTTCCCCCAAACTATAAATACCCCCTTCCCCTTTCACTTTCAACTCACCCCACAAACATTTCACTTCTTTCTCCCTCAATTTATCCGCTCTAGTCTCGTTCTAAGTATGCTCTGTGGTTGCGGCTAAGTCCGATCTTCCACATCAGAAAGAATTACTAGAGTTTGACCCTAAAGCCCCCGTCCCGCTAAGTTCCCGTCCCTT